AACAATTTGTTTTACTAGCGCGTTTAGTAAGGAGACGTTAGGACTAGCGCTATCTTATGGCACTAACCCTAAACCATAGGGTCAGTTAGCGATTCTAAGCAAGCAAACCTCCCCCTAGCGCCGCGCAAGTTCGTTACGCATCGTATAGGAGAGGTAACCGTCCTCGGCCGTGAATCGTGCCGGCCTTTGCGGCGCCCTCCGCCGGTCGCCGCATGTCGTGGTCCCAGTCAAAAGGAGGAGCAATCGCTGAAGCTACGGCGTAGGTGGCCAGCCCGATTATTCAGCTTCGGGGCGCGAAGCAGCCTGCCGTCCACCCACGCTGCTTCGCCGCCCATTGCCTGCGATTCATGCAAAACGTATATATTATATATATAGTATAATATATATGTGTGTGTGTATATGTGTGTGTGTGTGTGTGGTGTGTGTGTGTGTGTGTGTGTGTGTGTGTGTGCTGTGTGGTGCGTGTGCGTGTGTGTGTGGTGTGTGTGTGTGTGTTTGTGTGTGCTGTGTGTGTGTTGTGTGTGTGTGTGTGTGTGTGTGTGTGTGTTGTGGTGTGTGTGTGTGTGTGTGTGTGTGTGTGTGTGTGTGTGTGTGTGTGTGTTTGTGGCGTGTGTGTGTGTGTGTGTGTGTGTGTGTTTATGTGTGTGTGTGGTATGTGGGGGGGGGGGCGTCTGTGTGTGTGGGGGGGGGGAACGTCGGGATGTGTGTGCGCGAATGCGTGCTTGTTGTGTTATTGTGTGCGTGCGTGTTTGTTGTGTTGTGTGCGTGTGTGCGTGTGTTGGCGTGGCATATGGGTATTGTGTGTGCGTACTTCACCTATATTGGTAAAAGGGGCACAGCTACGCTAATACGTCTACGTAGCGTACCATCTAAGCACAAGAGGCGGTCGTTTAGCTTGTCCGCATTTATAAATGTCGCACAGGCTAACGCATTTATAACTATACTCTATACAGGTTTATGTCCCCGAGCAGTTATACAAACAGAAACAGTTATTACAGCCTGGCTCTCACGGCTTTCTGCCAGCCAATTGTAACGGAACTTGGTCTGGGTGCGTTGGTCCTGGGTCTTGGTCTTTGGTAACTGAATCTAAATGTATTATGGCCCACGCGCCTCCTTACTAAAGTAACACTTATTCTATATACTTGCATTCTGCTAATGACTACGGATATCCGTAACGGCATACTTCGGAGCTTAGTTTTATTAGTAACTCTATTAGTTAATTCGTAACGATTAACGTCATTGCAAAAACTAACGAATAAGGCAGATTTGTAACATACACCGCCACTTACATGAATAATCTCGCTTAAACCTGTTACAGCACTGCACTCGCACACATATAACGCAATTAATCTCACGCGATGCTAATGAAGCTTTCCACTCATGTGGAGAACTAAGAATTAGACTTAAGTTGCCACCGCAAAACAAGTAAGATTAAAGCGCCCGCAATATACTTAGTACATACGTGTGCTAGTTTCTACCTTTCTAGCTCATTGACACAGCAATTTGGCTAATGACTGTCATCCCATTGAGTAAGATCGGTCACTACTATTTAATATATATTATATATAGGATGTGATATAATTTATATAATATATTATGTATAATATATATACTATATAAATATACTATACTATATATATATATATATATATTATTATATATATATATATATATTATATATAGTAAATATAGACTAATTTTTGTGTTGTAGCCCGACGAAGAAGCACATCGTCTCAAAATATTCCATTTAAAAATAAAAACACTGTATTTCTATACCTCTATTTTACACATGTATATATGTCTTCATTTGGTATCAGTGTGTTTGTACTTCTAACTATATATAGGCCTATATATCTATCTATCTATATATATATATATATATATATATATATATATATATATATCGCGTGTGCTTACCACGTTCAGCAGTCTCTGCTCCCCCGTCTCGTCTGCGCGCGGGTACAGCGGCGCGTTGTGACCGAGGAAGTCCTCCCACGATCCGTGTAAGTCGTACGACATTAACGAGACGAAGTCCAACACCCTGCAATACGCAACACGTCGCCCGTAATCCTCCCGCCCCCACAGCGACCGCGGATGCCAAGCATGCTCCGCTCGTTTTTTTCTCTCTGTGACACACGTAAAAGAATGCGCGATCTGCCCGCCTGGTTTTTTTTACGACACGCGTAAAAACGCGAGATATCTGCCTCGCCTGGTATTTTCTGCCCAACCCATGGCAGCGACCAATCTGCCCTCACCTGATATTTCCCAAGACGCGCGCGCGACGAAGTAACTAAGGCATGCGAAAAAAAACAGACAACTTCAACGTGAGGCATAACTTTAAAAATAATAGAAATGAGACTTGAAGAAAAACATGATACGAGACAAATAACTTTACAGTGTGACGTAACTTGAGGAAGAAAATAAAAAGAGACAAGTAACTACATACAGGCTAGCTATCAAGTAAGCTTCGTTATACTTGAAGAAGAAGAAGAAGAAGAAGAAGAAAAAGAAGAAGAAAAAATGGACGAAAAAGAAATGAGCCTTAAGCTGAGGACTGTGCATGACTTGCTTTGACAGTTCAGCTATGTCGTAGCCCGCCTGGATGTTCTTCTCTCCAGCGGCCACGGCGGCCGTCAGCATCAGCCGCGGTCGCACCATCTGAGCTGCATCGGCGGAAAACTCCGTCATCAGTTCCTGCAAGAGTTAGCAGATGACGTCATCAGCTTCTGCAAGAGTTTACAGTCGACGTCATCAGCTTCTGCATGAGTTTACAGTCGACGTCATCAATTCCTGCAATAGTTTTCAGTTAACGTCATCAATTCCTGTAATAGTTAGCAGGCGGCGTTGTAAGTTCTTGCAAGATTTAGCAGACAACGTCTTCTGACCCTTCAACAGTCGGCAAACGAGCGCGCGTCGTGTGAGGTCTCCATCTAAGACATTTATAGAGACGTCGAAAAGTAAGTGGGCTGCTAATAAAACCCAGCAGCGTTAATGATCACTATGTAGATGATCGATGATTCTTTCGGCGAGCCTAAAACGAACGCGTTAGCATTTAGAAACGTGAAATATAGCGGCACCGCGAAACAGACGCCTCGCTTGCAGCTGGACTCTTCTAAAACCTAATTAGTCAAAACCAGATGGCCGCAACACAGCCATCGAAGCAAGCGCGAATGAAATAAACATATGTGCGGCGATGTAAAGAAGACGGAGGAGACAAATCATCTCCTGATACATCTGGTCGTTTGTTAAACAGCGGGCAAGAGCGGGAGAGAAGGGTAAGATGAGAATGGGGGAAGTGTTAATGAGAGAGAGGGTGAGAACAGATAGAGAAGGCGAGAGAGAAGAAAGAGCGACGTGGGAAGGAGAGAGGGCGAAAGAAAATGAGTGATAGCAATAGAAGGAAGAGATAGATAGATAAATAAATAAATACATAAATATATATATATATATATATATATATGTATATAT